AGGAGTTGGAGACCAGCCTGGCCAACATGGTGAAACCCCGTCTCTACTAAAATACAAAAATTAGCCGGGTGCGGTGGCGGCCATCTAATCCCAGCTACTCTGGAGGCTGAGGCAGGAGAACTGCTTGAACCTGGGAGGCAGAGGTTGCAGTGAGCCGAGATCGTGCCATTGCACTCCAGCCTCGGATGGACGACAGAGCAAGACCCCATCTCAAAAAAGAGAAAATATTATTTAATGCACTTATTAATGTACACTTTCTGAAGACTTACTGTTTGTGCAGGCACACTGGACTTAGTGCGAAAAAATAGAGAATGAAAACAATACCCTGACCCTTGAGTTGACAGACATGGGGCTCGTGACAAAAATAAAAAAATATATTTTAAAAAGATCATCAACCTTTTAATTCCTGTTCCTGAAGCCTTCGTGGATTATTTATGTCTGCATGTCTGCCTTCTCCTAAAAATAATTCTATCCAGGATGCCCCAAGGACGTCATGCTGGAAGCTTCCTGTAGGTAAGGAGGGGCGCGGCAGTGGTGCCAAGTGCTGAAGCTGCAGGTCTGAAGATAAAGCCTCCAGAGCGTGACCAGAAATGGTTCGTTGGCAGCTGCCACAGCGAGAAGCCAGTGCTGCCACCTGCTGGCCAAGAGCAGGTTCCCCCACACCCATCCTGTTGTTATGAGGCTGAATCACAGCCAGACGGGGGAGGGAAGGGATTTTATTACAACTCGCTTAGTTTAGAGATAGGAAACTGATGAAAAAGGGACTTGCCCAAGATCACGTAACTGGTTTGTGGGATAGTCAGAACCGGAACCAAGTACTGGCTTCCTGTAAAACCTGACGCACGCTTCTCTGAATTCAGGAACATGGAACTTACAACCTTCAAATTGCAGTGTGCTCTTCTCTTGCTTCTTCCTTTCCCTCTTCTCTTCACCGCCCCCTCCTCTCTTCTCTCCCCATCCCTCCCCTCTCCTCCCGTCCCTTTTTTTCCTCCCTTCCCCCTTCCCTCCCTCCTCCTCCCGTCTCCCTCTCTCCTCCCTTCCCTCCTCCCTTCTTCCCCTCTCCCCTCCCCTCCCCTCTCCTCTTTTTTCTTTTTAAAACCAATTCTCATCACTGCACTTCCAGGGCAGGGGAAGCACTGGGGAACGAGGCAGCCTAGCTCTGTGGAGGGAAAGGGAGCTGGTCAACATATGCCTTAGGTACTTTTTTAATTAATAAACTTTATTTATGGAGCAGTTTTAGACTCATAGCAAAATTAAGTGAAAGGTAAGAAATTTCCATATACCCCCGATCCCACACAACCTCACCTGCTAACAGCATTTCCTACGAGAGTGGTACGTTTGATACAATTGATGAACCCACATTGACACGGCATTTTGACCCAAAGTCCATAGTTTATATTAAGAGTCACTCTACTTCCCAGCACTTTGGGAGGCCTAGGCGGGCGGATCTTGAGGGCAGGGGTTCAAGGCCAATCTGGCCAACATAGTGAAACCCCGTCTCTACTAAAAATACAAAAAATTAGCCGGATGTGGTGGTGTGGGCCTGTAATCCCAGCTACTCAGGAGGCTGAGGTAGGAGAATCGCATGAACCCAGGAGCCGAAGGTTGCAGTGAGCCGAGATTGCGCCATTGCACTACAGCGTGGTGACAGAGCAAGACTCTGTCTCAAAAATAAATAAGTCACTCCGCTGTTATATATTCTATGGGTTTGAACAGATGTATAATGATGTGTATCCTTCTTCGAAGTCGTTTCACTGCCCTAAAAAACCCCTATGTTCCTCCTGTTCATCTCTCCTCCTCCCACCCCTCTGGCAACCACTGTCTCCATAGTTTTGCCTTTTCCGGAATGTCATATGGTTGGAACCATAGAGCATGTAGCCTTTTCAGACTGGCTCCTTTCACTCAGTAATGTGCATTTAAGGTTCTCTGTCTTCTCATGGCTTGATAGCTGATTTCTTTTTTTTTTTTTTTTTTTTCGAGACAGAGTTTTGCTCTTGTTACCCAGACTGGAGTGCAATGGCGTGATCTCGGCTCACCACAACCTCCGCCTCCTGGGTTCAGGCAATTCTCCTGCCTCAGCCTCCCGAGTAGCTGGGACTACAGGCACGCGCCCCCATGCCCAGCTAATTTTTTATATTTTTAGTAGAGACGGGGTTTCGCCTTGTTGACCAGGATGGTCTCGATCTCTTGACCTCGTGATCCACCCACCTCGGCCTCCCAAAGTGCTGGGATTACAGGCTTGAGCCACCGCGCCCGGCTGATAGCTGATTTCTTTGTAGTGCTGAATAACATTCCATTGTCTGGATTGACCACAGTTTATCCATTCACTTACCGAGGGACATCTTGGTGGTTTCCAAGTTTCAGTAATTATAAAGTTGCTATAAACGTCTGTGTGCAGGGTTTTGTGTGGATATCAGTTTTCAGTTCATTTGGGTACATGCCAAAAAGCACAACTGCTGAATTGTATGGTAAGAGTATGCCTGGTTTGCTAAAAAATCTGTAAAACTGGCTTCCAAAGTGGCTGTACCACTTCACATTCCCCGTATCCATGAGTGAGAGTTCCTGTCACTCCACACGCTTGCCAGTATTTGGTGTTTTAGATTTTGGCCATTCTCATAGGTGTGTCGTATGCTTTAGTTTTTTAGTAATTTGGGAGATAAATCCTAACACTCATTAGCACTATCTACCCATAGAATCAAAATCACAGGGAAGCCTGGTGGTGTTGAGTTACAGGAAATGTGAATACTTGCCTGCAGTTCACAAAGGACACAGGGGTGGCACTCACGCTTTCAGCAGCTGTCGTGCAGCTGAGTATGAACCAGACTAAGGTGGTGGGGCAGAACCTCAGCGTACTGTCCCCTGCGTCTATGGTCAAGCAATGCAGAGCGGCAACCAGAGGATGCTAAACTCCAAGGTGATGACTTGACTCTATCGTGATCACTGCCTGCAGTTACCACCAGGAAGGCTTAAGACAGGGAGCAGGATATTTCAAGAGAAGGAACAAGTATAACCCAATAAGGAAGGCATATGCTAGAGATAAAGGCTACCATCCAGAGAGAGTGCCCAAAGGCCTACCTTCCTTTGCCCATCAGCTTTTAGACACATGTTTTAGTTCACTTCTCTCTCACTAGCTAATATCGGACCACAATGGGTTTGTTTCCTGTCTGCACCGTCTGTTCTCTTTAAAGTAAAATAAAAACTAAGTACAGGATTCGGAGAACTTGTTAGAATACATGTGACAGTATTAAAAGCTAATGCTTATTGATCTCCTTCTGAATATCAGGCAGTGGTTTTTTTAAAAAAAAGTTTTTTGAGACATTCTCACTCTTTGCCCAGGCTGCAGTGCAATAGCACGATCTCTGCTCACTGCAACCTCCATCTCCAAGGTTCAAGCAATCCTCCCACCTCAGCCTCCTGAGTAACTGGGACTATAAGCATGTGCCACCACAACCAGTTAACTTTTTGTATTTTGTTGGTAGAGTCAGGGTTTCATCATGTTGCCCAGGCTGGTCTTGAACTCCTGAGCTCAAGCAATCTACCAGCCTCAACCTCCCAAAGTGCTGAAATTACAGTCGTGAGACACTGCACCCAGTCCTAGGCAGTGTTTTTCATTGTAATTCTAAAAAAAAAAAAAAAAACCCACAAAACTTCATGCAATATGTTCTATTATTATTTCCACTTACGGATGAGGAAACTAAGGCACAGATAGTTAAGTAGCCAACTTGGGATTATCTTCCAGATGATTGGAATATGTCCACAATGACTCCAAAAATGGCTGCCAAAAAAGTGAAGGTGTGATCGGGTGTGATGGCTCACACTTGTAGTCCCAGCACTTTGGGAGGCCGAGGTGGGCGGATCACGAGGTCAGGAGTTCAAGACTAGCCTGACCAACATGGTGAAACCCTGTCTCTACTGAAAATACAAAAATTAGCACACCTGTAGTCCCAGTTACTTGACAGGGTGAGGCAGGAGAATCGATTGAACCTGGGAGGTGGAGGTTGCTGTGAGCTATCTCACCACTGCACTCCAGGCTGGGTGACAGCGAGACTCTGTCGCCAAAAAAAAAAAAAAAAAGTGAAGGCACATAAGTGGTTCTACTAGGACTCTTGCAGGTAGAACAAAAGAAGTAAGAGTCCTCTCATATTCCAAATTGGCCATTCTATTGCTCATATATAAGTGAAATAGAGATAAATGTGAATATATTCAGAGACAGGTGACCAGGATACTGAGAGAACGGAAAACAAGGAGATGGTGGGAGAAGCAGAGGAACCAGAGGTATTTAGCTTAGAGAAGGCTCAAGAGAACCATGAGAGGTATGTTCAAGGCTTTGAAGGGGTCAGCGAGGAACAAGTTTAAGTTTATTCTGTATGATTCCAAAGAGTAGAATTAGGTTCATTTTGTGGAAGCTAAAGGGAACTTGAATGTTTAGATGGTCAAAGCGATTTTTAAGACAGAAAACACTGTTTCCTGATGGTTTGCAGAAGCCAAGACAGAGAGCCAGAAAAGCAGATTTGAATATGCTTGGACAAGGGCACACAATTTCTGGATTTAGGCTCGCGTTCAGCCACTTACTGGCCAGATGATCTCAGGCAAGCCAGAGCATCTATCATTCTCACCATTCAGGGTTTGCAGGGAGAAGATAAGAGCAGGTGCCAGAACTCTTTATAAAGAGTTGTACAAATGTAAGGAATTGTTATGATTAAGGCAATGTAATCGAAATAAATCTGAACTCAGAGGCAGTTCAGCTGAGTCTTGGAGATGTCCAGGTTTTGTATGTGTCACTCCTTCCACCATGCGGGATTTGAACACAGCTCTATCATATTACAGTAGAATGGGCTCAGTGAGGTTTCTGTGTGCATCTGTTTCTTCTGTTGGACAAGTGAGCTTGCTGAGGTCAAGAACTGTGTCCCTCATGTTTTTATATCGTAATCTCCAGTATTTAATCAGGGATTAGTACACGGTAATAAGTTGGAAAACGTTGGTGGAATGAATAAAGTCCAAAATAAGGCCGTTAGAAAGCAAGGGGTTTCTATGTCGCAGCATGGGGAGAACACACAGCTTCCAGATGACAGCTTGAAGGGACAGCGCTTATCGAAGTTTAGTATTTGACGTGTTTATTTTAAAATCAGTCATCTGTCTAATATCAGTTTCTTTCATTTGTCTGCCACACTGTACTTTTCAACACTTTTTAACCTTCACTATTTTATTCAATACTCACAAAAATGCACTAAAATAGGGAGGTTATGTTTATCAGGCAGGGAATATGTATCAGGCAGGAATCAAGTGCGTCTATGGCAGAGCTTATGTTCTGATTTCTTAGCTTGGAGCTCTTCCCTCCATGCCAGGCCAGCAGGGCTCTGTGGTTAACCTCGTGGTGCCATCTGAGTCTGTCCAACCTCCTTTGTGGAACTCACTTATGTTACCAGGAGAAAAAATGCACAGCTTTGCTTTTGCATCTGGGAAATGATGAAGATGAATGTTATTTCTTAAATATAAAATAATGCAAACTCTAAATATGTAAAAGATACCCACATAAAAATTATTATTATTATTTTATTTATTTATTTTTTGAGACGGAGTTTTGCTGTTGTTACCCAGACTGGAGTGCAATGGCATGATCTCGGCTCACCGCAACCTCCGCCTTCTGGGTTCAAGCAATTCTTCTGCCTCAGCCTCCCAAGTAACTGAGACTACAGGTGCGCACCACCGTGCCCAGCTAATTTTTGTATTTTCGGTAGAGACGGGGTTTCACCTCGTTGACTAGGATGGTCTCAATCTCTTGACTTCATGATCCACCCACCTCGGCCTCCCAAAAATTATTAATATGTTAATTTTTAAAACTTGATCTTTATTTTGTATTAAACATATTTATCTGATATTAAAAATTGATTTGATATTTGGTGAGAGGAGCTAAGACATCCCCCTGGCTTTGGAAGCTGCAGCCAGGTCCTACAAACGTATCTTTTCTTATTCTGTTTTTATAGACCATGACAAATGTTTGCTATTTGTAATACTGTGCTACCTCCAAAAGACTTAACAACTGGATGTTTAAAAATACATATTTTCAGTTAATTTACTAACTAGAAACATGTCTGTTGCAACACATGATGTTATACCATCCTGAGATTAATAACTTCTCATATGATACAACTTTGCATGGGCTGAAATAGACAGATCAAGCTAAAACAACATGAATGGTAAGGGCAATTTTTGTAATGTTAGGAGGAAGTAAAGCATGACACTCCTGACCCTTTTTGACCAGAAAGAAAAGAAATCAACTTGTCTGGTCTGTGCCTTGAACAGAAGAGCTTACGTAGGAATCTGGAGGGGGCCAGCCACAGAGAAAGGTTGATAATAGATCATCACAAGGACATAGTGCTTACTAACATCTTTTTTCTTTGACATGATAGAAATGATTGTCCACGGTATCAACTCTCATCAGGAATTTGTTTTTTTGAATATCCTGAATGTTTACCCTGCCTGTTACAATTTCTTCCCATGATGGGAGACTCAAGATCGTCTGAGGCCATTGGTCTTCTTTTAACTCAGAGGTTGAGTACCAGCATTCCTGAGAGGAGGGAAACAGAAGAAATTATTAGCACTCCTTGACTTTTTAATCAGGATTAATCCAATACCAAGTAAGGCAAACTGTCTTTGAGCTTTCAAAACCGTGTGAACCCATAGACAAAAATGAATCTTGCTATCCAAACTAGGATACTAATACATCCCACTTAAAATAAACACACATACTCACACATTCATTCACCTGTTCAGCAAAGCTGAGTATAAGGCGGCGTGCTGGGCACTAAGTGGTTTTTGCTTTCAAAGAGTTCACATTCTCAAGGAGAGGAAAGACATGCAGACAGATGTAACACAAAGTGGAAAGTGGCCACAGAGAAGGGCAGAGAGGGCATGCTAAGAGGGATTTGGATGAGGGGGAGAGTCCATGAGAACTTAAAGGGGAAGAGGAAGCTCACAAACCTGAGCTCTGGGCACGTCACCCGTTCTGGTAAGAATCCAGAAAGGCCTATGGTGATTGCTACGGTCTGAATGTTGGCATCCCTTGAAATTCTTATGTTGCAAATTAACCCCCAAGGTGATGGTATTAAGAGGTGGGTCTTTGGGAGGTAATTAGGTCATGAGGGCTCTGCCCTCATGGATAGAATTAGCGTCCTTATAAAAAGGCTGGAGGAGGCCAGGTGCGGTGGCTCACACCTATAATCCCAGCACTTTGGGAGGCCGAGGCGGGTAGATCACGAGGTCAAGAGATCGAGACCCTCCTGGTCAACAAGGTGAAACCCCGTCTCTACTAACAATACAAAAATTAGCTGGGCATGGTGGCGCGTGCCTGTAATCCCAGCTACTCGGGAGGCTGAGGCAGGAGAATTGCCTGAACCCAGGAGGCGGAGGTTCTGATGAGCCGAGATTGCGCCATTGCACTCCAGCCTGGGTAACAACAGCGAAACTCCGTCTCAAAAAAAAAAAAAAAAATTAAAAAAACGGCTGGAGGGAGCAAATTTTCCTTTTCCATCCTTTTGACATGCAAGGACACAGCAAAAGGCACCATCTGTGAGGAATGGATACCAGACATTGAATCTCCAGTGCCTTGATCTTGGACTTCCACCTTCCAAAACTGTGCAGTAATTTTCTATTGTTTATCAATGACCCAGTCTAAGATATTTTGTTACAGCAGCCTGGACAGACTAAGACAATGACCTGTGCCTGGTGAAACCTAACCAGGCAATGGGCTTCCAGGGCTTCTTTATACAGGTGAGCATCCCCCATCCCAGCTTGCTAGCTGATGATACGTACTGTGCTCATCTGCAGCCAGCATTTCTCCAGCACATTCCCCTGAGTGTCAGAGAGCTGCAGCGCTGTGTTCAGAAAGAGGCGACAGTTCTGCCTGTCTCCCATTAATATACAGATGTAAGCCATCAGGTGGTAGAGCCTCGGGTAAAAGACAGGGCCAGTGGTATTTTGACCCACCAGATTCTCCAAGTTCTAAAGAAAAAAACCCACAAAGTATATTAGAATCAAACAGGGTCCTTGACTGTAAGTTATCTCCTTCACAGACGATTTGGGAACATTTCAAGGATTTAAGCAATCAAATGAGAAAATACATTATTGAGACATACATAGTAAGTATTGGAGATAATAAATGTCAGGTGGAGTAGCCCCCATGGTCCACTGAGATCAGAAATTAACATGAGAGATCCCATCATTGCTTCTCTGCAATAACTTTTTAAAAAAATTATTTTGATGGCCGGGCACAGTGGCTCACGCCTGTAATCGCAGCACTTTGGGAGGCTGAGGCGGGTGGAACACCTGAGGTCAGGAGTTTGAGACAAGCCTGACCAACATGGTGAAACCCTGTCTCTACTAAAAATACAAAAATTAGCTGGTTGTGGTGGTGCACACCTGTAATCCCAACTACTTGGGAGGCTGAGGCAGGAGAATCACTTGAACCTGGGAGGCAGAGGTTGCAGTTAGCCAAGACTGTGCCACTGCACTCCAGCCTGGGTGACAGAGCGAGACTCCATCTCAAAAAAAATAATAATTTTGATGATTATGATTATTAAAGCAGTACAAGTTAATTGTTGAAAAAATTAGGAAAAAAATTGGCCACCTCTGCATGTAAGGTGCTTGGAAGTAACCACTTAGTCCTGGAATCAAGTAAAAAGCTGAACGGACTGAAAGATAACAGATATTCTTGGATCCATAAGAGAAGTGAGAACATGGGGCAAACTGCTGTTCCAAAGACTGCAGGGACAAACAGACAGAGATTCACAAGTGGAAACCACTGTGGGAATCAGTGCCAGGCTAGGAAAACCTGAACTGTAATTGATGAATTGCTACAGACTCAGAGTGGACAGGTCTGGGAGTTAAAAACTCTATGGAGAAGAGGATTCTGGAAAGATGGCAGATAGGAAGTACCAACTATCTGTATCCCCACCTAGACTATCATTACACTGACAGAATCCATCAGAATGTAACTATGTTAGAACTCTGGAGTCTGCTGAAAACTTGTATGTAAATGCCAGATGAAGGCTTGGATGGTAAACTGAGGTTAATTTCAGTTTCAGCTCTTAGCACAGCTGCCTGTCCCCCCACCTTAAAACCTATGGCAGACAGTTCTGCACATGCTCCTGAAGAACCTGCACACAACTTGTGGGAACAAGTTTGGGCAAAAAGAACCCTGTGTGAGATATCAGGGATTGGTGTTCTGATCACCAATTGCTGCTTCTGATGGAAGAGGTAGAGACAAGAGGTAGGCAGCCATTGTTGCACTTCTCCCCATCATTGCAAGCCCTTCCCTCTCCAGTTGAAGTGACTTCCAGGGGATTTAAAGGGCTATTGCCCTTCTCCCCTGCCACCAACTTTATTTTTCTCTCCACCCCAAAAAGAAATTCTGGAGGTGAAAAGTACAATAACTAAAATTGAAAAATCACTAGAGGGATTCAAAGGCAGAGTTAGGCAGCAAACTTGAAGGTATGACAATGGAAATTATTGAATCTGAGAAACTGAAAGAAAAAAGATTGAAGAAAAGTTAACAGAGTCTAAGGGACTTGTGGAACACCAACAAGTGAACCAATAAATGCATTGTGGAAGTCCCTGAAGAAGAGAGAGAAAGAGCTAGAAAGAATATTTGAAGAAATAATGGTTGAAAACTTTCCAAATTTGATAAAAGATATAAATATAAACACCCCAAAAGCTCAACAAACTCCAAGTAAGATAAACTTGAAGAGATCCACACTAAGACACATTATAATCACTTTTGAAAGCAAAAGACACGAAATCTTGAAAGCAGTGACAGTAGCAACAAATCACATACAAGACATCTTCATACCATTAGCAGCAGATTCCTCATCAGAGAACTTAGAGGTCAGGAGGCAAGGGAGCCAATATGTTCAAAGCGTTAAAAGAAAAAAAATCCCATCAACCAAGAGTCTTCTGTCTAGCAAAAGTGTCCGTCAAAGATGAGGGAGAAATTACTAGCTCAAAAGCTAGTATTATTGTAACTGTGGCTTGTGACTCCACATTTTGTTTTCTACATAGTTCAAGAAACTAATCACTTAAAATGATGATTCATTTATGTTTTGGGAGACACAATGTATAAAAATGTAAATCTGGGCCGGGCGGTGGCTCACGCCTGTAATCCCAGCACTTTGGGAGGCCGAGGAGGGTGGATCACGAGGTCAAGAGATCGAGACCATCTTGGTCAACATGGTAAAACCCCGTCTCTACTAAACATACAAAAAATTAGCTGGGCATGGTGGCGCGTGCCTATAATCTCAGCTACTCAGGAGGCTGAGGCAGGAGAATTGCCTGAACCCAGGAGGCGGAGGTTGCAGTGAGCCGAGATCGCGCCATTGCACTCCAGCCTGGGTAACAAGAGCGAAACCCTATCTCAAAAAAAAAAAAAAAAAAAAAAAAGTAATTCTGTGACGTCAACAACCAAAAGGGGTGGGAAGCTATTAAAGGAGCAGAGTTTTGTGTGTGTTACTGAAGTTAACTTCAGGACGCTGAATGTAATCCTCGTGGTAACCATGGGAAAATAGCTACAGAATATACACAAAAGAAAATGGGGAGAGAACTTGAATGTTTCACTGTGAAAAATTAAATGCAAAGAAGATAGTAGTTCAGGAAATGAGTAGCAAAGAAGCTGGAAGGCGTATTGAAAACCAATGGCAAAATGATACAAGCAATTCTCTCTTTATCAGTAATTACTTTAAATGTAATTAAATTAAACTCTCAAAAATAAAACCAAATTGGCAGAATGGATTTTTAACAAAACGTGATCTAATTACATACTAAAAGAGACTCACTTTAGATCCAAAGGCACAAATAGATGGACAGTGAAAAGATAGAGAAAGATATTTCATACAAATAGTAACCCAGAGAGAATAAGAGTGGCTATAAATGTCAGACAAAATGAACTTTAAATCAGAAAAAATCCTACAAGAAGCAAATAATATTATATATTAATAAAAGTTCTAATACAGCAAAAAGATACAACAACTATAAACATTTAGGCATCTAATAAGATCATCAATATATATGAAGCAAAAACTGACAAAACTGAAGGTAGAAATAGAGAGTTCTATGATAGTTCTATTATGTAGGTAGAAACAGTTCTATAATAGAATATTCCATAAGAGTTGGAGGCTTCACTAACAATAATGGATAGAACAATTTTACAAAAGATAAGACATAGTGGTCTTAGACAACACAATAAACCAACTAGTTCTAACAAACATACAATTCATGGGTACAGAGTTTCTATTTTACAAGATGAAGACAGTTACGGAGATGGAGGGCAGAGATGGATACACATTATAAATGTAATTAATACCACTGAGCTGCATACTTACACATGATTAAGATGTTAAGTTTTATGCTGTGTGTATTTGGACGACAATAAAAAAAAATCAGACTGGGTGCCGTGGCTCACACCTGTAATCCCAACACTTTGGGAGGCCAAGGTGTGCAGATCACTGATGTCAAGAGTTCAAGACCAGCCTGGCCAGCATGGTGAAACCCCGTCTCTACAAAAATACAAAAATTAGCCAGGCATGATAGCAGGCGCCTATAATCCCAGCTATTCAGGAGGCAGAGGCACGAGAATCACTTGAACCCATGAGGTGGAGGTTGCAGTGTGCCAAGATAGTGCCATTGCACTCCAGCCTGGGCAGCAGAGCAAGACTCCGTCTCAAAAAAAAAAAAAAAAAATTAGACATAAAAAAACCCCAAACACCTTCAGGTAAGCCCTAACAGTTTTGTGTGTTTTACCTCCGGAAGCTCAACCAGGATCTCTCAGTAAATATTGGAGGAAAAAAAAATCCCTCATTCTTTCAGCAGAGGAAGAGGAAAAGGAACCATTTTGAAATATGCCAGAATACTCCATTCTTCTTAACGAGGTTTGCCCTCAGGAGAAACTATGTAACCAGAGCCTAACCTCCAGGGGTTTTAATAGATCCTAACCAATCTTGGGGGAGATGAATACCCAACTAAAGCCAGATCTAGCCATTGGGTCCCACCTAAGGAAGAGGGGAATGAAAAGCACTTGTGAAGTTCTTAGTCCAGAGGAATAGGCTACCTAAAAGACTGAGACCTAATCACAGGACTGTAGAATGCGTTCCCGCTCCTCACACCTTACCATCACATTACTAAAGACCTATTGAGACAAAGTCTTTTTATCTGGTACATCATGTCTGGCTATCAAGAAAAATTACAAGGCATACCCAGGAGGTGGAGGTTGCAGTGGGCCAAGCTCGCACCACTGCATTCCAGCCTAGGTGACAGAGGGAAACTCCATTTCAAAGAAAAAGTAAAAAATTTGAATGAAGCCCAAGGGGCTTCTAGAGAGGAACAAAAAAAAAGAAGTGTGTTTCACTTTTCCTCAGAAACCATGCAGGCAAGAAGACAGTGCCATGACATGTTGACAGGAAAAAAATCCCTAGAATTCTTTACCCAGTGAAATTATCCTTCAAAATTGAAGACAAAATAAAGACTTCTCAGACAAACCAAAATTGAAGGAAGTTGTTGCTAATAGCCTTGACTTGCAAAAAATGTTAAAGAAATTCTTTAGAGAGAAGGAAGATATATAGGTCAGAAACTTATATCTACATAAAGAGCATTGAAGAAGGAGTAAGTGGAGGTAAAATCAAAATGTTCCTTTTCTTATTCTAACAGATGACAGTTTGTTCAAAATAACAACAGCAACAATGTATTCAATTATTTCTGCTTATGTAAATACATCTCCTAAGCAGAGATCCCAGACCAGACCACTGAGGCTTTGGACCTGCCAAACTGCGAGTTACGAAGTGGGTGTTGTTTGGGGCTTGGCATGGTGGGTGTTGTTTGGGGCCTGTTTGGTGGCCTGGCAGGTGTGAACCTGTAATCTCAGCACTTTGGGAGGCTGAGATGGGTGGATCACTTGAGGTCAGGAGTTCAAAACCAATCTGGCTAACATGGTGAAAACTCATCTCTACTAAAAATACAAAAATAGCCGGTCATGGTGGCGCTTGCCTATAATCCCAGCTACTTGGGAGGCTGAGACATGAGAATTGCTTGAGCCTGGGAGGTGGTGGTTGCAGTAAGCCGAGACTGGACTACTGCACTCCAGCCTGGGTGACAAAGCAAGACTCTGTCAAGAAGTGGGTATTGTTTTAAGCTGTTAACTTTGTGGTAATGAGTGACAGAGCAATAGAAAGCTAATAGACCTGTGCTCAGTGTTCACAAGAACAAGGCAAATGTGTCGACCCAATACCAGACGTTTAGCCCTTTATTCTCTTAGGGTGCTTGCCCATGCCACGTTGTAAACTCTTGGAGGTGTTTAATTTGCTCACTCTTGTGCCCCAGCACTCTTGTATTAATATGCTTAATACGCTGGGCGCGGTAGCTCACGCCTATAATCCCAGCACTTTGGGAGGCCGAGGCGGGTGGATCACGAGGTCAAGAGATCGAGACCATCCTGGTCAACAAGGTGAAACCCGTACAAAAAAATTAGCTGGGCATGGTGGTGCGTGCCTATAATCCCAGCTACTCGGGAGGCTGAGGCAGGAGAATTGCTTGAACCCAGAAGGCGGAGGTAGTGGTGAGCCAAGATCGTGCCATTGCACTCCAGTCTGGGTAACAAGAGCGAAACTCCAAAAAAAAAAAAAAAAGCTTAATACCTAGTTGAATTTTTAAAATTGTCATGTGGAATGATTTATCTGCCAGGATGCTTTATCACAGCAATGGCAATAAGATCATTCAGAAAAGTTTTATCCAAGAATCATTAGACCACGTAATCGTATATCAATAAGATAAACTACCATGCTTCCTTTTAAATTGTGATGTGAAAAACAATTTAATGACAGAAAATTATTCATAATATGCTTAATAGCAAATTACAAAATACAGAAATGTACAGGCACACACAGAAATACTTGAAAAGTGGGACCTCAATGTATAAAAAGTGCTTATCTCTGAGTAGTAATGTAGTGAACAATTTATATTTTCTTTCTTACTTTGGGGAAGTGCCTTCAAAAACGTCTGTTATAAACACGTATAATTCTATAATGAGAAAATAATTAGCACAGGAAGCAGACAGAGATCCATTGAGGCATATTTTATACTGGAAACTGGAGAGTAGGCCTCACCTTGAGGAGCTCCTTTCCATTATCATGGGCATTCTCTGAGTGTTCTTTGATTTGCTTTTGAAGATGAAGAACTTGCCCCTCCATGTACCTGGACAGTCCTTCATAGTACATAAGCGTTATGGTTCTTCTTGGCAACAGATTTTTAGCTGTACTGGAAAATATGTAAAAGTCGTCCCATTCCTGAAGTCTGGCATACCTGCATTACCGCAAAGGAATAAGCAAAATCAGTATCACCTGTGGAATAGATTGGCTTTCTGAAATGGCTCTCTCTGGATGTGCGGCTTCCTGTATTCCTGTACCTGGGTCTCTAGAAGTGTGCCTCCTGCCTACTCCTGCTTCACTCTCCCTAAAAAAGCAGGAAATTATGTGATGCAGAGCAAGGAAATGATAGATTTTTTTTTTGATGGCTTGAGATGAATAGAATCCTTGGAAACACCCAGGTAATATTAACCACCACTGAACTCTTTGATTTTTTATATTAAAAAGTAAGGGAGGTCAGACACTTGGAATTGTAGATTCTGGGACTTGAAGCTATTGCTCCAATACTGAAGACAGATGATTTAGGATAGTACTGCTCAAAATGTGGTTCACAGACTGACATCATCAGTATCACCTGGGTTCTCATTAATGCAGGTTCTCTGGTTCAGTCCAGGTATACTGAATCAGACAGGCTCTGAGGGTGAGGCATCTCCCCTTTAACAAGCTCTCCAGGTGATTTTTAGCCCACTAAAGTCAGCAACATTGGCCTAGGACACAGGTGTTGAAAGAACTCTTCAGCTGAGATAGACAAGAAAAAGAAATTTGGATGATTTTGGAACTTTAGATTCCTTGACCTTTAACTCACATTGGTAAATTATTTGATTTTGAACTTTAATTGGCAAGAGTAATTAATTTTTGGATTTTAATTTCTCCCCATTAATTTTATAATAAGGAGATTTCTGGCCAGGTGAGTGAGTGGCTCATGCCTGTAATCCCAGCATTTGGGGAGGCTGAGGTAGGATTGCCTGATCCCAGGAGTTGGAGACCAGCCTGGGGAACATGACAAAATCCCATCTCTACAAAAAATTAAAATTAGCTAACGGTGGTGGTATGCACCTGCAGTTTCAGCTACTCGGGAAGCTGAGGTGTCTGGGAGGATCACTTGAGCCTAGGAAGGCGAGGCTGCAGTGATCCATGATCGCACTATGGTACTCCCACCTGGGTGACACAGCACAACTGTCTCAGAAAGAAGGAGGGGTGGGTTTCTATTCAGAGTTGGAGCTGCTCTAATCTGTAGCATTTGATATAGGAATGTCTTCATATCGTCGCTTAGCTTCAGCACAGACCTCTGATAGACCATATGGTTGCATATAATTTAATTAAGATAGGAAATAATAGGGGGCAATTTTCAGTCTTGGGGATAGTCTTGGAAGTAATGTAATGAATGTTCTGTTCTGACCCATTTTAGAACCTTAGCGTTCATCTCCTTCCTTAAGGGTATGAACATGTAGCAATAGGCTTAACTGAGTTAAAAACGTAATAGGTTACTTTGGGTGGCTGAGGCGGGCGGATCACGAGGTCAAAAGATCGAGACCATCCTGGCCAACACGGTGAAACCCCGTCTCTACTAAAAATACAAAAAAATTAGCCAGGCGTGGTGGCGTGTGCCTGTGGTCCCAGCTACTCGGGAGGCTGAGGCAGAAGAATCGCTTGAACCCAGGAGGCAGAGGATGCAGTGAGCCGAGATTGTGCTACTGTACTCCAGCCTGGAGACAAAGCAAGACTCCGTCTCAAAAAACAAAAACAAAAACAAAACATAATAGGTTAACGGGATTAAGCCTCAGACTTAATGAGTTAATGGGATACGTGGAGAATGCTTCTTCCTTACTCCTGAAGTTTCCTTCCATGTGAGGGGCTTCTATTTGGTGCAAAGCACGAGAACTCTTCCCCTGCTTCACTTGCCCCTTCAATGATAAGGAGAGATCTTGCTGGTGAATTGGGAGAGGAATTGGGCAGGTATAACTCTGTCTGTATCTCTCTGCATCTTGAAAGCTAGTGAAGCCAACAGGGAGTGTGATACTGATCTCTGTGCTACGAGAGCCCTGCCTCCATGTGAGTAGATCTACAGTTTTCCAGAGCTGCCTGCTACTGAGCAGGTTAAGTCCAATTCTAGGGCTCAATATGAGGAAGCCCACTTACGTGCAGATATAAGCCATGTCCTCCAACATTGGCTGTATCAATCCATATGATTAGATATGGGTGGGTGCTGGGGTGGGCAAGTGGTACCATTCATTCGTCTTCCTAAAACCCCAGCACTCCTTCAAAGAAAGCAATCTTTTCTTATTTATCCCTGTATCAGCACAACATGATCTGTTTGCGATAAATATTTATTGCATGGAATGCAGTTGAGACAATCTCACTTATCTGTCCTTGGCCAAGGGGGATGAACTAGTTGATCCCTAACACATCTTTCAGTGTAAATATCCCCTGACACCTTTAAGCTCTCTCAGGTATAAATTATGAACACCTTCTAAAATATTTTTAAAGAACTCTTCCTTGGAACTCAACATCTTCCCCTTGGGAATTTAGTGATAGGCAACACATTGTTACCAGAGAGCCACAGACGAATAAAGTCCCAGGAGGAGTCCACTCTGGAACTTGAGGATTCCGTTGTCTTTATATTGGTATATGAATTCCAAACATTCTTCAAATGTTCTATAAACAAAACCTAAAAGAGAGAAAAGGGTGAGTGTTGCTGGTAGGTATGGGCGGTCATCTTTCTAGCCTAGTTGTTCTCAGTAGAATATTCCCACTGCAGGGAGAGTAGCCTCTGATCATTGTATGAATCTAAAGGGTCCCCAACAACCTCACGACTGGACCGGCCTGTGTTTGCTGAGTCCCAGCTATTGGGGAGTGTTATGGATATATAATACAGTTCCACAGTACTGACCAGGCAGGGTGGGGTTTAACTAATCCTTCCCAGCCTTAATACAGCCTAGGACTTTGGTGTCTCCTCACACATGCTTCCCTTGGTGGCGGCAATGTCTGCATCCCCTTTCAAGATCCTGTGTGTGGAAAACAATTCCCAAGTTGGTTCCTGTGGTTTAGTATGTACACTTCAAGTGACCTACTTGATGTCACTTGAAGGTGATCAGGAAATAACTTCTTTTCCAAATCACCAACAGCTACCAACCTGGAACTCTCACCTGAAGCAAACTAGTCCTTCATTCTAAAGCATGAAGTCTCTAAGTACATCCTGCTAAAAGTTAAAAACCAAGAGGCACATAGTAAGATAGTCACGATCACTTAGGTGCAAGTTGATCTGACAGTTTAACTGGCAGCTCATACCAATCAGGTTCCTTCAGACTTAATTCTCCGACTTGAAGTGCCTTTACAATCTTGGCACCTGCTGGACAGTGCTTCAGTTCACACCACCAGTCTCTCTCCATCCCTGCTCTGTAAGTCCACCCAGACGGAACCTATTGGTGCCAAAGCCCCAACGTGACAGCTGCTTCACCATACCAGCACAGGTGCCACACCCCCAAGTTCTTTTACATTCCAAACCCACACTTACCAGAATAAAGCATAGTGTCCAAGCAGACGAAGTAGAAAAATGCCTTGCTCAAGATGTGTTCCTGTGTTACAGAAAGATCCCACAGACACTCCAGCACCTGGATCAATTGCATGTATCTATGGAAGAGAAAAGATAGTGGCCACTAAAAAGTGGTGGATATTGTAATCCCAGCACTTGGGAGGCCAAGGCGGGCAGATCATGAGGTCAGGAGTTCGAGACAAGCCTGGCCAACATGGTGAAACCCTGTTTCTACTAAAATACAAAAATTAGTCAGGCGTGATGTCAGGAGCCTGTAATCCCCCTACCTGGGAGGCTGAGGCAGGAGAATCTCTTGAAACTGGAAGGCGGAGGTTGCAGTGAGCCAAGATCGCACCACTGCACTCCAGCCTGGGTGAAAGAGTGAAACTCTGTCTCAAAAAAAAAAGGAGGGGGGGTGACATAATGGACTTTGGGGACTCAGCGTGGAGGGGAGGCGGGAAGTGAGAGATAAAAGACTACATATTGGGTACGTGTACACTACTGGTGCACTAAACTCTTAGAATTCACTACTATAAAATTCATCTATGTAACTGAAAACCACTTGTACCCTCAAAGCTATTGAACAAAAAAAGCAGTAAATAGGATGAGGTTCAGTAAGGTCCCTTCCTGGTCTAGTCCTGGTCCTTCTCAGTAATTCAGAACCAAATACACCTCTTAAACAGACTTCAAATGCATCCCTACCTAGGACCAAAACCTAAATCTCAAATCGGCTCTTGTTTCAAATTGTTCTTTCCTGGGCTTTCTATATCAGGGTGACCAGAGTCAGAGCAAATTGGCCTTGGCCTCTAGTCCTGGTTACTATTCTCTGGCTATTTGCCTCCCTAGAAGACTTTTCCCTTTGTCTCCACTTGACAGAAGTGGAAGCCTGATTTCCACAGCTGGGATGACTGTCTTACTCCCCTCCACTCACTGGCCACAGCAACCAGATTAGAGATGACGCATGGGAAAGAATTCTGTTAAACGAAACAAAACTAACAAAACAAAAACCAAGGCCTGGCACGGTGGCTCATGCCTGTAATCCCAGCACTTTGGGAGGCCAAGGTGGGTAGGTCACTTGAGATCAGGAGTTCAAGACCAGCGTGGCCAACAGGGTGAAACCCCATCTCTACTAAAAAACACAAAAATTAGCTGAGGGTGTTGGTATGTGCCTGTAATCCCAGCTACTCGGGAGGTTGAGGCAGGAGAATTGCTTAAACCCGAAGGCAATGGTTGCAGTGAGCCAAGATCGAACCACTGTACTCCAGCCTGGGCAACAGAGCAAGACTCTGTCTAAAAAAAAAGAAAAAAATAGGGCAACTATTATCAGTTACATTTTCTTACTGCAAACTCTACTCCCTTCCCCACCCTATGGCCAGGCTAAAGTTGAACCCAGAACACTCAATAATATGGCCTCCTCCCCCTAATTTTGGAAAATGCTTTAAGATAAATACCTGCTTTTCAAAAGGAGACATTGGGTAAGTCTGCAGAGGGACAGACAGTGTCGGCTGGGATTCTGGAGCAGTGCCCACATCCGGTGGGCTCGGGTGCCTGGGAAGAAAACAATTCCAATATATTGTGGGACATTCCTTGTATCCTCATATCACATCTTGCCCAGCCAGTCCTTACCTAACTCAGTGGCCAAGTCCAGGTGTCCCATTATGAGCTTGTTGAAGACCAGTGTATCAGCGATGTATGCCACAATTTCAATGCCCTCGCCTTTCAGGGGGAGGTTGAAGAGCTGCTCCAGGGCCATGACTTCATATTTGAACCACTCGCCCCGGTAGCCAGCCAGCTGGTGGTATAGCGAATAGTCTAGGTAAGCCTTAATGATCTGAAATGACAGAGAGGAGGAAGAATGAGGCAGAACATAAAGCAGAAAGCTCAGGAACATCACTCAATGTCTGCCGGTAAACATTTATTAAGCGTCGGAATAGAGCTGGACATTTGGCCAAAGCCATGGGCTTAAATACAGAAATCAAATTGGGTTTTTGCTACCTGTTTACTGAGTCATTCAGGATAAGCTTGGTGGCCCCTTACCCACGGAGTCCTTAAATGAAATATAAAAATTTTAATTTCTGTGAAAAATAAAAGCATAGCTTACATATTAGATATACAATTGCAGAGCGAAAAGCCTGCAAGGATACACTCCAAAGTATAAACAGTAGTTACCTATTTGTTGGGAGTGGGAGGAGAGATTTTACTTTATGCGTCTCTGTGATGTTTGTTATAACAAGCATATATAACTTCAGCGATTTAACAAAAAAGAAAGAAAGGTTGGTTTGGTTTCTTTGCCTTTTTTTTTTTTAATAGGGACTAGTTTTAAACCTAATTTGGAGGTCAAGTGCAGTGGTTCACGTCTATAATTCCACCACTTTGGGAGGCTGAGGTGGGAGGATTGCTTGACCTCAGGAGTTCCAGACAAGCCTGACCACGATAGCGAGACCCTGTTTCAACAACAGCAAAAACTAGCCAGGCACGGTGGCACATGCCTGTAGTCCTATCTACAAAGGAGGCCAAGACAGGAGGTCACTTGAGCACAAGAGTTTGAGCCCAGTCTGGGCAATATAGTGAGACCCCATCTCTACAAAAGATTAAAAAAAAAATAGCCAGCATGGTGACACAAAACTGTAGTCCTAGCTGCTTAGGAAGCTGAGGTGTTTGGGAGGATCACTTGGTCAGGGGAGGTTGAGGCTGCATTGAGCCATGATCACGCCACTGCACTGCAGCCTGGGTGACTGAGTGAGACCCTTCTCAAAAATAAACAAACAAATACACCTAATTTGGAGATTTACAAGAAACTGGTTACTCTAAACAACTCTTTAAAAAGATAAAGTTGCTACAGAATATACATGCTTAGAGAATAGTTAGGAGAAAATAGTTCCTTCTAAAGAAGCAGTTTTATTATTTATACAAAAACAACAATACATGTAACTACTTTGAAAAATACAAACAGAAAAAATATAGTATCTCTAGTGGTGGGAGTATTGGGGTAGGGGAAGTATTTTAGAGTAGAGGAATTCCTCAAATGGGACAAAATAAGCAGCCTACAAATTCTGTGCTACAGGCAGTTCCCTGGATATTTAAAACCACAGTCAGTCTTAGGGAATTCATTTCTTCCTTGTTTGAAATATGCTCCAGATAATGCTACCAGAAGGTAGGGATAGCCAGAAATGGTGGTGGGGGAGAGGGAATTGTTGGGGACACAAGAAATCCAAGACTGTAATAAAGCCTAGGACCTCTTGGATTTGGACCGAGAGAATAGAGATCCAACAGGTTCACTTTACAGAGAAAATATAAAGCTCCATGTTTATGCAGGTTGCCAGTGGTCACAACGCAGATAGGCGGAGTCCTGAAAACCACTCTCTGGCTCTGTCTCGGTCTTTCCCTCCTCCTATGCTGAGTCCCTCATCTGCTTTTGAGCACTGAGGGGAGTGCTTCTCTGTTTTCAATCCCAGTCACTTTGATGACGAATGTCTTGGTTCACTTTCCAGCCTGACTTTCTGTTTTTTCCACCCCAAGTCTACCACAGTTCTTAGGCTATAGCCCCACGTGTGGAGAAGTATTTCAGTCAATATAAACTTCTTGAGCAACCGCAATTGTTCTAGAAACTTAGGATATGAACAAGGCAACTGAAGAGAACTTTTCTCCCATGGGATTTACAGGCTGCTAAGGGAGACAGACCAAAAGCTAATGCAGGAACAAACAAGAAATTGTCGAATGGTAATAATATCTATTAAAACCGAGTGACAAGTTAGAAGTGAATGGGTGGTCACGCCCAGGAAAGATCGGAGGATGAGCACTCTGGGCAGAGGGAACAGCCAGAGACAGATGGGATTAAATTTCTATGTTTGAGGAACCAAAAGAGGACCTATATGGCTGGGCCTGTGACTCTTTCATGGCCTAAGGAGCTAGGAGCAGAGGATGGGAAGCGAGCAGGGGTCAATCTTGACGGGCTTTATAAATACTTCTGTATCCTAGGAGGGCCAGCCTAAGTCCACCAAAAGGGACTAATGCAGAGGACAGACTCCCAGTTAGGAATTGAAGCTCCTCCAACATTTACGGTGCTACCTGACTACTTCCCTTCCTTCTTGACAATGAATGAGTCCAGGAGGAAGAAACCCAGACTTAATGTACTTTTATAATGGAGCAAGGCCATTCGCCTAGATGAGCTGGATTTAGCTTAATAATTTCTTGATCATGTCTCCTGATACCTTCTTCATCCAGTCAAAGGCTTTCCTATTTCTGACTTAGACTAGTGGTTCTCCCAATTCATCTCGGGATCCCTAAGAATCCCTGACACCTTTTCAGGGAACATATGAGGTCAAAGCTAGTTTCATAGCATCCACGCGTTATTTGTGACAGGAAAAATAGTGAGACCTTAAAATGGGCCAAAACACGAATTTAGAAGGGTTCCCACCTCACTTACTAATCGAAGTTATCTCTACTTTTCTTTGGACTATCTTACAACTATGTTGCGAAAAACTAATAATAATGTAAGTGATATGATTTGTTTTTCATAGAAATGTAAATACTCAGTGGAACACAAGTGATTATTACCGTTACTAGACAAGTTTTGTATCCATTCATAAATTGGATTTTCCTTGGCACCACTTGGTTCCAGTCTTAACTAATTTTGATTGAGTCAACTCAGCGAGTTAAATAACATCTTTAATGTGTACTTTCCGTATTTGTTATGATTATAATTCTTTTTAAAAAAGAATATATATTCATTCTCTCATGAATATATAGTGGAGTCTTCCAGAGGCAACATACGTGACATTGCAACAGTGAAAGCAGAAGCAGATGTGAGAATCTAGTTGTCTTCTAGAAGCCAGACATTAAGATAATACAATGCCATATTTCCCATTAGGTTTTTTTGTTTGGGGAACAGAGTTTTAAAAAATGAAAATGGTAATTATGTTAATATGTAATAGGCTTGTTATCTTTATTTTAAAATAATATTTTAGGCCAGGTGAGGTGCCCCATGCCTGTAATCCCAGCATTTTGGGAGGCTGAGGTGGGGCAGATCACTTGAGTCAGGAGTTCAAGACCACCCTGACCAACATGGCGAAACCTTGTCTCTACTAAAAATACAAAAATTAGCTGGGTGTGGTGTCACGTGCCTATAGTCCCAGCTACTCAGGAAGTTGAGCCAAGAGAATTGCTTGAACCCGGGAAGTGGAGGTTGCAGTGAGCCGAGATCACAACACTGCACTCCACCCTGGTGACAGAGTGAGACTCTGTCTCAAAAAAAAACCAAAAAAAATATTTTAGAATTTTCTGTTCTTTTTTTCTTTTTTCTTTTTTTTTTTTGAGACAGAGTTTCGCTCTTGTTACCCAGGCTGGAGTGCAATGGCATGATCTCGGCTCACCGCAACCTCCGCCTCCTGGGTTCAAGCAATTCTCCTGCCTCAGCCTCCCGAGTAGCTGGGATTACAGGCACGCGCCACCATGCCCAGCTAATTTTTGTATTTTTAGTAGAGACAGGGTTCCACCTTGTTGACCAGGATGGTCTCGATCTCTTGACCTCGTGATCTACCCGCCTCGGCCTCCCAAAGTGCTGGGATTATAGGTGTGAGAGTTTTTGTTTCTTATATGATATCAATAAATTCAACCCATATAAATAAAAGCTATTTTGGATCCTCAATAATTTTTAGCAGTGTGAAGTGATCCAGAAACCAAAGTGTTTGAGAACTGCCAGCCTTGTCAAAACAAGCCCGTCAGAAAGCCTTCTGTTATATCCTCACAATTCTGAATCCCAATTGGCTTTCACTAGGCTTTTCTTCCCAAATGAAATTCAGAAACTTAAAGGAGCAGCTACAAAAATCCCCTACCTGGAAATTATTTTGAGTTTCCAGTGCAGTATTCATTTGCATCATAACTGCCAGGTGGGCATAATACTTGCAGGGAAAAAAATAATTTAAGCTATAGATGCGCCACAGCAAGGAGAGGCAGACAGTTTGCCGGTGAAGTTGTGCCAGCCTCTTCTTCCTGTTGGATAAAGTAAACACAAATGGAACATAGAAGGTATCATCATCATTATGCTGTAGGGGAGCACAGGTATGCAGTGTCCTCACTGTGGCCCTGGCAATTGAAACTGACTTGAATTTGAGGCCTGCCTCCATAACTGACAAACAAGCACATTTTCTCCATTGTAAAATGGGACTCAGGATACCTACTTTGTAATGATTAATTTATGTAAAGCATCTGGCCTGTGTCAGGTAATTGCTAGTTAAATAAAGGTATTTAAAAAGCACATTGATGGGCTGGGTGCAGTGGCTCAAGCCTGGTAATCCCAGCACTTTGGGAGGCCAAGGCGGGTGGATCACCAGGTCAAGAGATCGAGACCATCCTGGTCAACATGGTGAAACCCCATCTCTACTAAAAATACAAAAAAATTAGCTGGGCTTGGTCACGCGTGCCTGTAATCCCAGCTACTCAGGAGGCTGAGGCAGGAGAATTGCCTGAACTCAGGAGGCGGAGGTTGCGGTGAGCCGAGATCGCGCCATTGCACTCCAGCCTGGGTGACAAGAGCAAAACTCCGTCTCAAAATAAATAAATAAAATAAAAAGCACATTGATATCATTCATTACATTTGATTCTGATGACAGCCCTGGAACAAAAGAGTGGAATAACCGACTCCATTTTACATATGAGGAAAGTGAGACTCAGGTTAAGTAATTAAGGCAAAGACACACAGCTGGAATGTGGTGGTGCCAGGATTCAAGCTCCATCTACCTCCAGCCCAAAAGTCCAGTGTATTATTCTCTCCAGTGCACACTGCTCTCAGCAGCTAGTTCTCAGCTCAACAAAGGTGCGAAAGGAAAATAAAAATTCAGGAACCCAATTCACTATGCCAAAAGGAAAAAGTTAAGCTGAAAATTGACAAGAAGTTGCCTTTCCTTTTGTTCCTTAGCAGACAGCTGCAGATAAAAAGTTAAGTACCTGCACCGGTAGCTACTCATCCTACATTAAGTGCCTATTCACTCAGTGTGAGACAATACGTAATTGACTCTTCTCTTTCCTCTTGTAACACGTGGATGACCATGCCCTCCTTCATTTCCCTCCAGCTCACTTTTCCCCTCTAAATACTGCAGCCCTCACATTCATCTTTGGAGAAAGGCACAGACCATGATTTCTGTGATTCTGTTATTCTGTGTTTTTTTCTTCTGGGCATGTCCTTAACCTTGGCAAAATAAACCTCCAAACTGATTGAGCCCTGTCTCAGGTACTTTTTCATGTTTTGTTTTTTTGAGATGGAGTCTCATTTTGTTGCCTGGTTGGAGTGCAGTGGTATGATCTCAGCTCACTACAACCTCTGCCTCCCAGATTCAAGCAATTCTGTTGCTTCAGCCTTCCCAGTAGCTGGGATTACAGACATACACAACCATGCCTGGCTAATTTTTTTTTTGTTTTTAGTGGAGACGGGGTTTCGCTGGGTTGACCAGGCTGGTCCCGAACCCCTGACCTCAGGTGATCTGCCCACCTTGGCCACCTCCTGAAGTGCTGAAATTGCAAGCATGTGCCACCGTGCCTGGCCAAAAAAATTAGCATTTTTTAAAATTTTTATTTTTTGGAGACAGAATCTCGCTCTGTCACCCATGCTGGAGTGCAGTGGTGTGATCTCAGCTCACTGCAACCTCCACCTCCCGGGTTCCAGCAATTTTCCTGCCTCAGCCTCCCTAGTAGCTGGGACTATCGATGTGCACCATCACACCCGGCAAATTTTTGTATTTTTTAGTAAGGACGGGGTTTCACCATATTGGCCAGATTGGTCTTGATCGCCTGACCTTATGATCTGCCCACCTCGGCCTCCCAAAGTTCTGGGATTACAGGCGTGAGCCACTGCACCTGGCCAAAATGAGCATTATTAACCATTCCAGTTGTGAAAGGCAAATATCTTGGACCCCCAAAATCACTGAGGAAAACTCAAGCTGGAAACTGTTTAGGGAAAACCTGCCTCCCATTCTATTCAAAGTCACTCTTCTGCTCACTGAGATAGACGCAATTCTGATTCGCCTCCTTTGGAAAGGCTAATCAGAAACTCAAAATAATGTAACCAGCTGGCCAGGGTGGCTGACACCTGTAATCCCAGCTTTGGGAAGCCAAGGTGGGTGGATCACCTGAGGTCAGGAGTGTGAGACCAGCCTGACCAACATGGTGAAACCCTGTCTCTACTAAAAATACAAAAAATTAGTCAGGTGTGATGGTGGGTGCAGGCACGGGACCCACTCATATAGGACCAGCTGCTGAAGGCCTGGGGGCCAGAGGTGGACACGTTGTAGGACTTCTGGATCACCCTGATGGATGTGGTGAAGGCAGGCGGGATGAACCAGGTGGAAATTCCAGAAGGAGCAGAGAAGCTGATTCTTTCTTCTTCAACACTTTTCTACTTTTCCCTTTGTGCAGGGACTTTTACTCCTTTGCAAAATGTGAGATGTGTAAATTACCTGCTTTAGCAGATGAAAATACAGGATGCCCAGTTAAATTTGAATTTTAAAACTAATAATTTTATGGAATGCATATGTCCTAAATGTTTCATATGATAGATGTATACTAAAAAAAGTATTCCTTCCTGCAACCCTATATGTAATGCAAAGGCCACTGCCTTCTCAGGAGATCTCTGCTGAATATCTCCCAGCCCTTCCTGGGGCTTCCAGGAACAGCTAGGTATTCCCACGAGCCCAACTCCCACATGCATGGGAACTCAGCTCCATTACATTTTCCTTTTCACCTCAGGATCCCCCACATTTTTGGGGAGCACGTTTGGAAGTTGGGGAAGGCAATTTTTGATGGGATTGTAAAAGAATTGTAGTAACTTGCTCATAGGAATAGATGTTTATATCTTGGGCAGAACCTATAGGAATATTGCTGCTGAGCTCTCCCAAGATGGAAGAGATGCCCTCTGTCAGTTCTCCAGGTACCCAACAAGGTGGCGTCTTGGCATCTCCTTTAGTGGCATCTCTTTGGAATTGCTAGATAGGTGGAATATATATATATACTTTTTGAAACGGAGTTTTGCTCTTGTTGCCCAGGCTGGAGTGCAATGGTACAGTCTAAGCTCACCACAACCTCCGCCTTCCGGGTTCAAATGATTCTTCTGCCTCAGCCTCCCGAGTAGCTGGGATTATAGGCGTGCGCCACCACACCTGGCTAATTTTGTATTTTTAGTAGAGATGGGGTTTTTCCATGTTGGTCAGGCTGGTCTCAAGATGATCCTCTGCCTTGGCCTCCCAAAGTGCTGGGATTACAGGTGTGAGCCGCCGAGCCCAGCTTTTTTTTTTTTCCAATGATGAGAGGTGTCTTTGTTGCTCAGGCGGGCCTGGAACGCATAGCCTCACCTCCTCAGGCACCAGGACAACTGGCCTGAGCCACCGTGGCTCCCAGGTGGAATGTTTTTTAAAATGTTTATTAAAGAATAATTCAAGCATATACACAGCAAACGAGTATAATGAGCAAAATGCACTCAACACCTAGCTTCAACAACCAGTAACATGCTTATTTCATCTACCTCTCCACTCACTGTTTGTCCCCACTCATTATTATTATAGTTACAGGTAGAATTTACATATATCGAAATGCACAGATCTTAACATTACAATTTTGACCAACGGATACCCCCCTGTAGCCCACATCCTGATTGAGATTCATAGATGGGTGGGAGTTTTGTCCTTTGGCAAATGTCTTCAGGGCTTGCTATTTGTCTTTGGGGTGGGGCAAAACCCAGTGTCTTAGTTCCTAATAGAAGAGGACTTGTGACTGAAGTCCCAGGAACACCTGCATCTGTGTTCTGATCCGTGTTCCATCCAATCAGAACATGGATGGCTGGGGGGGTTAACGGGCTAGATGAGTAGGGAGGGACTTAGAACTCACCTTACAAAGGGGTCCCTTATGTTTGTGTCATCCAAATTCCTTTTGGCAAAAACTGCCCGTAAAGTGCTTTGTGGTAACCCTGGTCTGGAAGCACCTCCCACACTTGACCCCTCCCCCAGTGAATGGTCAGAGCCACACAGGAGTCCTTGTGCCCCCTGGAGGCCAGGCTTTGGGGACTGACTTGGATTATATGTAGTCTCTCTGGGGAGGGAGATTAAACACTGCTCTCCCAGCTCCTTCTCTTACCCTGGAGGTGAGCTCTTTTGGGCCTGCTGATTCATATAATGAAAGTGTCTGTTTTTCTCAATGTGGATATGGAGAAACAAGGAGATTAAGTTGTAAGGAAAGATTCGGTTGAGGAGCTTCAGCGCCTTCCTCAGCATTTTCTTGGCAGGCACTGTCAGGCCCATATTGAAACAGACCTAGAGGGAGATGGGAGGGAAGAGAGGAAAAGAGGAGAAGCAATGATTCTAGACTTAGTAGGTCCCAACAATACATATTTTGGGGATTCTTACCAAAAAACGTAATTTATGGACCAGAAACAAAATCTTCCTGTGCCTGGCATAATGTCTGTTGGATGTATGCAGGAAGGGTGCTTGAATGACTAGGATTTTGCATCTTAGTTATGCATCATCTACCTCTGAGACAATGTTTACCCATTCAGGTTCATTTTTTAGAGGTTGTTACAAAAATATTTCATAAAGATGACAACCTGGGCCAGGACGGTGGCTCATGCCTGTAATCCCATCACTTTGGGAGGTCAAGGCAGGCAGATCACTTGACATCAGGAGTTTGAGACCAGCTTGGCCAACATGGTGAAACCCCACTCCACTAAAATACAAAAATTAGCTGGGAGTGGTAGTGGGTGCCTGTAATCCCAGCTACTCAGGAGGCTGAGGCAGGAGAATCACTTGAACCCGGGAGGTGGAGATTGCAGTGAGCCGAGATCGTGCCACTGCACTCCAGCCTGGGTGACAGAGTGAGACTACCTCTCAAAAAGAAAAAAAAAGATGTTGCTGGGTGTGGTGGCTCACCCATAATCCCAGCACTTTGGGAGGCCGAGGAGGGCAGATCACCTGAGGTTAAGAGATCGAGACTATCCTGGCCAACATGGTGAAACCCCGTCTCTACTAAAAATTACAAAAATTAGCCGGGCATGGTGGCGGGCGCCTGTAGTCTCAGCTACGCAGGAGGCTGAGGCAGGAGAATTGCTTGAACCTGGGAGGCAGAGGTTTCACTGAGCTGAGGTCGTGCCACTGCACTCCAGCCAGGCAACGGAGACTCCATCTCAAAAAAAAAAAAAAAAAAAACAATGCCAGCCTGGAGAACAGGGAAGATCTTGCTGGTAAGCCATCGTGAAGAGGCTGGAGCCCAGGGATTTGAGTTTCTAGAGTCTTGGCTAGAAGTCTGTGCTAAGAGACAGGAGGAGGATGTTGAAAGTATAGGGATGACTTCTACTTCTATGGAAAGGCCTAAGATAAATAACAGATTAATTCAAGCCTTTAATGGTTTCTTACCTCACCTTTGAGGCTGTAAAAAGTGGCAAACTCAAATGTCTGGCTCCAAGATTTGTCCTTCTTGAGAGTTTTTAGCAACTTCTCTCCTTCATTTAAATACCTGTGTGCCTGCAACCAGCCCAAGAAGTAGAAAAGTGTTGATTCAGCGGGACTGAGCCCACAGAAGGGCCATTGCCCCAGACTCTACTGAAGGAAGGGATGCAAGAGGCATGTCAGTTACTACCTCCATTTCCATCCCCAGCTCCACTGATTACAATGGGCTTCCAAATTCCAGATGGGAGCTGATGCTTACCTTTGTCTGTTGGATCACTCGATCCAGAGGATGAATCTGGAAATCTCCACCTTTCCTCATGCTATCATCTAAGTTGCCTTACCGGAAGTTTTCCCTCAAGCCAATTTCCTCCTCTCAGTAATTCCATCCCCAAACTCCCTATTTCCAGCATCACACCCACTTCCCCTGACCAGCGTCTCCACATCTATGAGAAGCTGGTCTTCAGTTTTGAAATGAATTATGAATCACCCCTGTTTCCTTTGCTAGGGCCATTTTGGGAGGTGGATGAGGAAGGTAAGTCCCTGCACAACTCTCCTCACTTCATCTTCACCTTCTAACATCCTCAGGCAAATCTTAGCACATGTGAACACCAAGGTAAGATCAGATTTGAAGAATAAAATAAGGTGAGGCATTACCTCCCAGTCTCATGCATCCTGTTGTGTATGTGTGGGAGGCAAAAAAAGAGGGAGATGTGGTGAGTTGGCCGCCAGCCCCAGTCCCACCAGTTTCTTTGATGGGAGAGGGGGTACAAATGGTACATTCTGGGACCTTGCACTGGGGCTCTGCTTCCAATCACTGCCTTCCTGATCACTCAGCACTCCTTGTCAAATGAAAAAGGGTATGCATAGGTTCTAGAAAGTTGGTCCCCAGGCCTACCTAAGCCTCCTCCTTCTGGGGTTCCTTGGCTACACCCCCATCATTACCCCAAACATGTGCATTAAATATGCAGGAGACTTTCATTCCTAACATAAATGCTTTCAAGGACAGGAACTTAGTAATGTTTTTAATAGTTTAATTGTAGAATTTTATGTAAATCTAAGGTAGGAGGGTTGATTAGGCTGCTGTGATCAGTAGCAACTGTAAATTATGGAAGGTCTTTGAAACTCTTCCTGAAGTTGGCTGAAGTCAGATAAAGCAAGGTCCCAGAAAGACACTTCCTCAAGTGAGTTCTCATGGAAGGTTAGCCCAGCCAGCTGCTCCATGAAAAGTGATCTAAGGGCAAATAAGTTTGAGAAACATAGTATACTTCAGCCTAGCCTGGCCTTTACCTTTCTCTGTCCTCTGAAAAGATTTATCTGTATCTCAGCATATCAAAGGCCCTGAAATAGCTAAAGAAATTTATTTAACTGTATTCAGCTCAGTGATTTCCAACGTATTTAACGAATTCTGTTTCTTTCATTGTGTGTATCAAACCCTCTCATCTCTAGGGGCATATTGCCCTGGGACCTTATTTATAATTACCTTAGAGAAACAGTCACTAGTGCTTTGGTGATCTAATGGTATGTGTGATAATCTAGCCCACATTGCTTGATGATAAAGATGGGGAGAGACTTTTTGGGGATCACAAGATTAAAACCAGAATTGGCTGGGCACAGTGACTCACACTTGTATTTCTAGCATTTTGGAAGGCCAAGATGGGAGGATCCCTTGAGCTCAGGAGTTCAAGATCAGCCTGGGCAACATAGTGAAACCCCATCTCTACCAAGAATACAATAAATTAGCCAGGCATGGTGGCATAAGTCTGTGGTCCCAGCTACTCAGGACGCTGAGATGGGAGGATGGCTTGATCCTGGGAGGCAGACGTCGCAGTGAGCAGAGATCGTGCCACTATACTCCAGCCTGGGTGACAAAGTGTAACTTCGTCTCAAAAACAAACAAAAAAAAAAACAGAATTGCACTCATCAAAGATTTACAGGTATTTTGCGCTCGCAATTATTTTAGGAGTAATGGAGGGTTAAGGCCACTTGGCTGTTACTGAGGAAGACTATGCTAAGAGTCCTCTCTGCATCCTTTAGAAATGAGATGTGCCCCCATACCTCCCATACAAGTAGACAATTCATGGCAAGTTTCTAAAGCTGGCAATATTTTTTATAATTTACAATGCTAGTTGAAATGTATTCAACTTTCTTTTCTCAATCTTAGATCATTTCTCATCTGAACAATGTGATTTTCAGCAGAAAGGGATGCTGTCGGGAATATAGAATGTGAAGAAATCAAAAACCATGCTGGAGCTTCCCTTTGGGCTCTGTGTTCTATGATTTGTCTCTAGGGTGGAGGAGGTCTGGGTAGAAACAGCTTACCATGTAGTTATCATGCAAGATGAGATAAGCAGATACGGTTTCTAAGAAGTAATACAAGGCTTTGTTATTTTCTTCCAAAGCCAGAAAATGGTGGGCCAGAGGCAAAATGACAATCTCTAGGATTTCTTCACAGTGGCAAGACTCCAGAGGGATAATGTCTTCATCAGATGTCTTCATTCTTGTTATAATGTTGTCAAAGAAATTCAAGATCGTTTTTCTTATTTCTGTTGGACTGTCCATAGGCAGAAATAAATAAGAGTAGTAACTTAAAAGAGTATCGCTTTTGATATGAAAATATCTTTAAAAACTAATAAAAGAGCAGGATAATAAAACCTAGTGTGGATACTACTGACCAAACTCACCAGGCATACTCCCTGAAGTCTCCCACTTGTATCTAAGAGGTCAAAAGTACTGGCTGACAAATTATTTTAATAGGTTGAATGTAAGGACAATTGCTTATGCTCTACTTCCTGAACAATGATATGTGCTTCTACCTGGGGTTTTCAGGAAACAATGAAGATTTCTTAGGAATCTTTGATTCGGAAAAGATGAGTTCTTCTTCAGCTAGAAAATAAACAGATGAGTTGTATGGGTCATTGAAATGTTCTGTGTAGTGGAGCTATCTGCTGTCTACCCAAGACTCTTGTTCCCTTTATGGAATTGTTGCTGCCCAGCCAGAAACCACATTGCCCAGTCCCTATTGCATCTTAGGTGAAGCCACACAGTGAGTTTTCACAGTAAAATTAGATCAGAAGTAATATATGCCACCTCTAGGCTGAGATGGTTATGAATCTTCTCTGCCTTCTCTTTCCACAAGAAAGCAAATAATTGTAAGAACTGGAAGGATAGCAAACCCACAAGTTGGGAGGAGCCTGGGTCCCTTGCTAACTGCATACAAAGCCATTGGTCAAAACTTGCACTGGATTATTTCATGAGGTAGAAATAAATTATCACTCTCTTGTGTTAAGCCACAGAAATGTTGGGGTTTGTGATAACTAATAACATTATCCTAATTAATTTATTCTGCAATAAAACCTATGAATTAAACCTGAAGAAAGTGACATCATTTTCCAGTGGAGAAATATAAATACTTAAATGAAATACCCCAAAAAGTTAACTGAAGGGCAGAGAATCTTAAATTAAAAACCTCAGTCTGGCCAGACCCGGTGGCTCATCCCTGTAATCCCAGTACTTTGGGAGGCTGAGGTGGGCGGGATCACCTGACGTCGGGAGTTTGAGACCAGCCTCATCAACATGGAGAAATCCCATCTCTACTAAAAATACAAAATTAGCCAGGCATGGTGGCACATGTCTGTAATCTCAGCTACTCGGGAGACTGAGGCAGGAGAATTGCTTGGACACAGTAGGCGGAGGTTGTGGTGAGCTGAGAGATCACACCATTGCATTCCAGCCTGGGCAACAAGAGTGAAACTACATCTCAAAAAAACAAAAAACAAAAAGCAAAAAAAAAAAACCCTCTGTCTAAGCAGACTTCAATAGGTTAGAAAATTCTGTAATGATCTTAAAACAGAAAACAAATAAAGCTCATCTAATCCAGCCATTTCTCCCTTCAAGCAGAAGAAAGATTCCCAGAGAGGGGAAGGAACTCGTCTCAGGTCATACATCTGTTAGTGGTGGAGGTAGGACTAGAACCTAGGTCTTCCGGCTCCTAGGCTAATGCATTACTCCTTACATCTTATAGATGCAGTTTGAACATCTAAAAAGTTATCACCTTCTTCTGAAAGCCCTCTGTGTCCTTGCACCCATAGATAAGTACCCCAACTTCTGTGCAGACCCATATCATAGTCCTTACTGCACTGCATAGAAATCAATTTGGCCAGCTGTTCTCCTAGATTACTGTTTATTGATTCCTTAGTGACTAGCAGCTGGATATACTGAATTATGACTCTGTCCCTTTACTCTTTTAAAACTACTCTTGTTAAAGTTACTTGTGGCCACCATGTTGCCAAATCCAAAGGCTACATTTTTGTCTGCACTTGATTACCTCTCAGCAGCATTTAACACAAATGATCACTCTCTCCTTTCACTGTTTCTTTTAGCACACATTCTCTTGTATGTGTTAAGGGAATTGGTTGCCCACTTAACTGGCTTATGTTCTTCTATCAACATTTTAAATGTTGGTAAACCTCAGTTTGGTCCTGGGCTTCATTCTTCATTCACAATTTCTCCCTAGGCAGTTTCATCTGCCCATGACTTTCAATGACATTCATATGCTAATGGTTTTCCATTTTATATATCTAAGCCTTGACATCTACTTCAACTACAGACCCATATATTCAAATACCACGTTGAATGTGGTATTTGAATATATGGGTCTGTAGTTGAAGTAGACTAGTTCAAGTGGCAGTTGCCACTTTGAAATGTGGAATAGGCCTTTCAAAATGAACACGATTCAAATAGAAACTCTTGAATCTCTCCTTCAGAACTTATACCCACTTACAACTTTTCCTATCTTAGTAAGCATCACTGCCATATATCCATTTTCTCAAGGCAAAAACCTGGGCAAGATCCTTGATTATTTTCTTTCTCTTACCCCCTTCCCTATTCAGTCCATCAGAAAGTCCATTGACCATAAGCCAAAAACATATCTGAATCTATCTTCTTCTGTCTCCACTACAGCACCAGCATAGTCCATTATGAAAATTTTACCTGGACAACTGCAAAAAACTCATCTCCCTTCCATTCCTACCCTTTTAAATCTCTTTCGTACAGAAGGCAGTGCCGTTTAAAAAATATGATTTGGAACTCTGCGGCAGAAACTGCTGGTCTCCCATCTCAATCTCCATTGTCCCTTTTCTCATTAGTAATAGAATTCAGTGTCATTCAGGACAGCTACATTCTTCAGCCCTCCTTGCAACTGGATATAGTCATGTGAGTAGGTTCTGATCAATGGGATGTAAGAGGAAATACTGGGTAGGACTTTTAGAAAACCCTTTAAAAGGGAGGGGACATCCTTTCATGTTTTGGCTTCTTTCTGCTTCTGGCATTAAATGTGGTGGCTGGAGCCTCAGCAGCTGTTTTGGACTAAGGTCCCTGATGTTCATGAAGCCTTCATTCTAGTCCCAATGATGAGACAAGCCTTTTACATGAGAAATAAACACATATAATACATTTAATAATAAATAAATTTAAGTCACTCTAGCTAGGTTCTTGTTATATGCAGCCAAACTCATTCTAATTGATATATTTCCAATGTGTTCCAACTCACTTAGATTGAAATTTAGACTATTTATCAAAGTGTACAAGGCCCCTTGAAGATTTTATTACTTAATCTGTTTATTGTCTGTCAGCTGCCATTAACATTCAAATTTATAAGAATAGATACTCATTTTTCATCACTGTAGTCCCAATATCTAGGTCACTTCCTGGCACATGGTAGACACTTAATAAATGTTTGTTGCATAAAAATGCATGTTTGTTGAAAATAAATCAATTAGTAAAATGAAAATGCTATTCCTCCTTCAATATTCTATGTATTTTTTAAGTTTAAAGTTGTAATGGTATCTAGCATAGTGGCTCATCCCTATAATCCCAACATTTTGGGAGGCTGAGGTGGGAGGATCATTTGAGTCCAGGAGTTCGAGACCAGCTTGGGCAACATGGCAAGACCCTGACTAAAAAAAAAAAAGAAAAGAAAAAACAAATTAGCTGCATGTGGTGGCATGTGCCTATAATCCCACCTACTTGGGAGTCTGAGGTGGGAGGATGGCTTGAGCCTGGATGGTTAAGGCTGCAGAAAGCCCAGATCACGCCCCTGCATTCCAGCCTGGGAAACAGAGCAAGACCCAAGACCCTGTCTCAAAAAAAAAAAAATTGTAATCGTGATAAAATGAGCTGCAAAGATTGGGTAGATAAAGCAAATAAAGTCAGGGCATACAAGAGACGCTCTTTGTCATTATGTCATTTATTGCTTGAGTGAGTCATATTATTATTACTATTTTTTTTTTTTTTTATATGGAGTTTCACTCTGTCACCTAGGCTGGAGTGCAATGGTGTTATCTTGGGTCACTGTAACCTCTGCCTCCTGGGTTCAAGTGATTCTCATGCCTCAGCCTCTCAAGTAGCTGGGATTACAGGACTGTACCACCACACCTGGCTGATTTAATATTATTATTATTATTATTATTATTTTTAGTGCAGACAGGGTTTCACAGTTGAGAAATGCTAAATGTACGATTGCTGAGAAATGCTGAGTGTATGATAGAATATATTGTTTGCTAGAAAGAACAATGGCAAGGAAAACCTAGCCAACTCCCCACCCCCCCCCAGTGGAAAACTATTTGGGGCATTCTTAAGTGGCAGGGCAATATATAAATATCATATACTGGTTAAAACAATTCTTTAAGTGTGGAATATGTGACCCTGTCCCTGTGGCTCCCTCGTGGAGAATACTTTTTAGTTTGTCTGTGATCAGTGGTAAGTGGGCACCAGCTGTCTACCTGGTTTATTTTTGTAAATGAGAAAATATCAAACATCTGTTAATAATCATCACCTGTTCAAAGAGAATAAATAGGTGGATCAGAGTCTGCTTGGGGCCTTCAGTCTGGAATGCTGTCGGTCCCTGAGTCTCTCAGCTCGGAAGGCAGTTGGCTCCCTGGATGGTCCCACTTTATCATTCTATCTGGGTGTCTGCTTCTCAATTCCTTCAGCTCTGCCTGGGTGGGAGTCTCTACGGCTGAGCTGGTCTCAGTAAGTAGCGCCCAGACAAGGGGCTCTAAACCCGGGACAAAGGGTTGCCTGAGTGACAGATAGGAGAAGCTGATCTGAAGGTGTCCCAAGTACTCTTGAGAAAAATCTCCCAGGGTAAGTTGGGGGAGCTCGGAAGGAGCCCAGAAACTCTTGAAAGAATTCCCCAAGTGAGTTAGGGGGAACCCAAAGTAGCCCAAGAACTCTTGGAAAAAATCTCCCAGGGTTAGTTGGGGGAGCTGGGAGGTATCCTGAGAACTCTTTTTTTTTTTTTTTTTTTTTAATTATAAAGATGGGGTTTCACCACGATGGCCAGACTGGTCTTGAACTCCTGACCTCAGGTGATCCACCCACCTCGGCCTCCCAAAGTGCTAGGATTACAGGTGTGAGCCACCGTGCCCGGCCCCTGAGAACTCTTAACAAAATCTCCCAGGGTGAGCTGGGGAGCTCTGTAGCATTAGGGTGACATGGGGAAAAGATCAAGCAAGCGCAAGTCTTAGTGTGGTCTGTTTGGCCTTTAGTACATTTTGCCTTAGAGCCGTTGCCGAGGGACAATGAGGAAGAAGATTCAGGAGAGGAAGGGGAGTGTGATGAAGTATGCAGAGAAATTACAGAGCAAAAGGATGAAAAGTCAAATGAGGAAAAGGTGTCCCCGTCAGCTTCCCTTCAGTATCTTGCCGAGGGATGGCCAGATCCTCTCCATATTTCTCCATTAAAGAAATTGGGCCGGGCGTGGTGGCTCACGCCTATAATCCCAGCACTCTGGGAGGCCGAGGCGCGTGGATCTCGAGGTCAAGAGATCGAGACCATCCTGGTCAACAAGGTGAAACCCCGTCTCTACTAAAAATACAAAAATT